TGTGTGTGTGTGTTGGTCAGGTGTGTGTGTGTGTTGGTCAGGTGTGTGTGTGTGTTGGTCAGGTGTGTGTGTCCAGCCCGGCCTCCTGCTGTGTGGACGGGACGTCGGCCAGGTGTTGGAGGAAGAGCCGCCCGTGGATGCAGGTCCGGTCCGTCCCGCCCAGCCGCCGCTCCGTCCGCTCCAGCAGCTCCTTCACCTCTTCACCACATAAATCTGAAGGCAGCTGGCGGGCCAGCCGGACCGCCTCGGCCTGAACACAAAACATCCAGATCTAATCCATCTAGATCAGCACTGCTGACGCTTAGAAGCCAATAAATAAAAACAGCTCCGGTCCTACGGTTCAAATGGCTTATGAACGACATCAATACATCCTACAAGTCTGAACCAGAAGTGATCAGCGCCATGTTGGTAGGCAAACAGCGAACATATGGCTGTTGAGATGGAGAATGGAAACGTGTCAGACTTGGAGGACCAGCCGCCTCTGATCTCCTGTTCATTTCTCAGTGAGCAGGAAGTTTATCCAGCCTGAACATCAACGATTACACGGCTTTGTAAAAGATGTGAACTCTTCACGAGGGTGACGAGGTTCTGGTGACGGCAGAGTGAGAACGAGTAGGAACGTGTCTGCCGATAAAAGCTAATGTTGCTAGTTCAGCAGTAAATACAGTAAATATCACTGATGTTTATCTTATTACCCCAGCAGTTATAATGTTTTTGTATTGTTTCTAAGTTAGGAGGTGAGCACTAGTTCTAACCTTGTGGTTTTTTTTACTGTTGTCATAGCAACTCCATAACAACTGCCTACCAAGATGGCTGCCAGTTACACAGTTCCTGGAAGTGTGACGTCACATGAGAACCGTGTGAACTCAGCAGGAATGACTTATCTACTTAGAAACATTTATTTTTAGAAGCTTAAAGCTTTTGCTCTATTTTCCATCAAATCTGTGAGTTTCTGTGTTAACTTTTTGTCGTAAAGTCGTCTGTGAACTCTGACCTCTAATGAGATTAAACAATGACTAACTACATGCTGGAGGTTTGTAGTTTTTCATTTTCAAGAAAGTGAAAAATATTCCTGCATTCCTCTGATTGTGCCAGTCGTGTTGTTGTTGTCTTCCCTCTGAAGCCTCCAGCTTTTCTTTTTCAGTGACCTGCTCTCATGTTATTAATCTGTTATTAATTTTAAACACAAACCTTTGGTAATGTAAGAGTATAATAATCCGAGTACATCCAGCCAAAGATAAAACAAACTTAATTTCTAAAGAACATTTAGCACTGGAATCAGAAAACATTGTAAATATCCAAAATAAAACAAAACAACAGTAAATAAGATGGATGCTGAAGTCTCTGTAGGAAAGCAGGCAAAAGGAAGTGCAGACCAGCTGCTTCCTGCTGGGTGTTAAATGCGGTTCATCTCTCTGACGGCTGTTGGAAATGAGTTAGCTGTCGTGTTTTGACCGGCGGGTTTACCTTCAGGTAGTTGGTGACTTTAAGCGGCCGGCTCTGTGGCACCGTGGCGGCCTTCCTCTGGAGGACGGCAGTCAGAACCTCCTTCAGGTCCTCCAGGCCCAGGAAAGGCACGCAGTCCGCCACGGCCGTCGCTTCCAGATGGCGCTCTGCTGACAGCCAGCCGGCCAAAGCAAGCACAAAACAAGGATTAATACACTCCAGACGCTGCTACTATCTCCAGGAAGGAATAATAAATAAACACGGAGCTTTACGGCCGAGCCGCGGCCCAAGGGCAACAGACCCCGGGCCAAATGGAGTGTTAAATGACTAATAGAAGCCCCAGCAGACTGGAAGGAAGCTGTCGAGTAGCCGGGAAGAATGATGGGCCGCAGTTTATGAGGAAATACTGTAAATCATCCACAATTTTGATTCTGATTTAATAACCTGGAGATTCAGAGGCGCCAACGAAATGCCTCAGCTGGTTGGCTGCCAGAGAAACGCAGCAAAAGACAATCAGTGACGAGTTTCTGCCCAATTTATCATCTAAACGCATCAGTAGACATGAAATAAGGCTAAACTAACTCACTAGTAACTCTTCAGACACATATAGCAGATTCTTTTAAAATAATTCCCAAATTGCTGATTTTTTTCCACTTATGCAAAACATCTTCTGTTATCTATTTTTTTAAACTTGTTTTGAGAATTTATGCAACTTTGAAAACCTGAAGTTAAAACTAAGAATTAACCTGAAAGTGGAAAACACATTTTATATTCAAGTTAGGCAATAATTTAAATATTCTCCAGAAGATAAAGACCAACACTGATGGACATAATGGAGGATGAAACGCTGGAAATATTACACACACACATATATATACACATATTTTTTTCCATTCACCCCAATATTGTACACAATATTAGAAATACATTAAAATACAACAATACACTAAAAATTCAATTCCTCAAGGTGCCGCAATGGCCTAGTCAAAGTCTAGACCTCATTCTGATTCAGATGCTGTGGTGGAACCTGCAGAGAGCTGAAGCAGCAACGAACTAAATGTTTCCAGCATGAAGCTCAGACACTAATGAAGCTCTGGTGTTAGCCGCTGCAGGCAGCAGCAGCCCGCTACGCTAACCAAACAGCTAGCTGCGCTAACTAGCTAGCTCTGCTAATGCTAAAGCACTGCACTGACATGGCATTTACCTAATAGCTAAAGCGCTACGCCAACATCAAGCTAATGGTAAAATGCTAAATTCCACCATGCTAGTTCCCATCAGCGGTGTTCGCTAAAGTACCGACAGCACAGCTAGGTCTCCATTTAGCACTTTTGCTAACTTTGACAACATTTAGCACACTTAGCTTCTGCTAAATGAGTTTTTTCAGATAAATTCTGAATTTACTCGGCTGACTGATAAACTTTCAGTAGAATAAAGTTTTAGTTTTGGTTATTGACTTAATATTTCTTTGCAGATGTTTTTGGGCCGACGTGTCGCATCATCTTTTTGTTCCAGGGAACCAGGAAGTCGGGGATCAGTTGGTGATCGTTCTCAACTCAAACAGGCTGATGAGTGTGAAGGGAGCCGAGGATAAAACTCCACAGATCAAACCGTCGCTGCGGTTCCGACTAAATTCTGGTTTTAATCCCGTAAATGAAGCCGGACTGAAACTGGGCCGAAGGCGCCTGCAGCTGCATGAAGCATTCCAGGAATTCCTTTAAGGCCAACTTCTCCCTCATCACCTGCACACCGGGCTCCGGTCCCACCGGGAGGCCCGCTGCCGGGCCCAGGGCCAAGGTCAGCCGAGGTGAACCGCTCCAACAAGAGCAACGAGCAACGAGCAACGCAACTGATGAGGCAGAGCAGCTTCAGTCATTCAGGAGCTCCAGACAGGAAATACAAGGAGAAATACTTTAAAAATAAAAGATTCCTGGCAGGTGTAGTGATGACAGATACTTCTGCAGAATATATAAATATTTATTATTAGTAAAAATAAAACAGAAGCTGATCCAAATCAGATACTGTCGGTTTATAAAGGATTTCTGCAGAAGAAGAAATCACACATCAGGCTGAATGAAAAATGATAAATGGATGAATAAAAACTTATAGGAAACAGGATGAGTAATCCAGACATACAGATACATTTTATCCTCCATTTCTGTTCTCCACACTTGTTTATGCTCTCAAATTCATTTTGAACTGTGGAAAATGAAACAGAATAAAGTTAAAATGAGACTCTATTACTGTAATTGTTGGGATATTTCGGCTTCTATGAATTATTTATGGGAAAACATCATTTATTGGACAGAAACACAAGCGAAAAGGTTTTTTGGAAGAAAAAACACCCAGAAATAAAATTCAGACTTTTACCCAGCACAGGAAATGAAGTGTGATTGTTGCCATGGCAGTGGACAGGAAGCTGGCAGGGGGAAGGATTTTGGTGGCGTACCTGGACTGAGTTTGATTCTGAAGCCGTTGGCGACGAGTCGGGGGTCGGAGAAGAAGACGCTGCCGTCCGGCTCCGCCTCGCCTTTCTCCAAACTGCACAGTGTCTCAAACTCCGCAGCGCCCAGGTTCCTGGAAGACAGCAGGAGTTTACGGTCCGCCTCAAGAGTGCGGTTTCCCCGTCACCGTGGGAACCAGAGCTACCTGTCGGTGAGCAGCAGCGGGTTCTGCAGGCGGACGGCAGGAAGGATGTGGTCCTGCTGGAGCCGCTGGAACAGCAAGGCTTCCTCCGCCCGGAACGGGTTGAGCAGCATCAGACGCCGCCCGCCGCACAAAATCAGCCAGGCATTCTGAGAGGCCAGCCGGCCCACCGGGCAGAGGCCCCGGGGCCCCGCCGCGCCGCTCTGGGCCGACAGGCGCTGCAGTCGCAGGCGCAGCGCCGCCATGCTGCAGGGCAGCGGCCGCCACGGCTTAGGGGGCGGAGCCTTCTGCTTCTTCTGGGGCTGGGCGGAGAAAAGCTCGTCCAGCAGCTGCTGGTTGGACAGAGGAGCTTTACGCTTCTGAGCCTGGAGCTTAGTGGCCCTCAGGGGCCGATCGGCCGTGGCCCCGGCGGCCGCCAGCCTGGTCCTCTGGTCATGGAGGTCCTGACTCTTCCTCGCCTTTTCCTCAAACCTGCAACAACAGAAGAACGATAAATCATGCAAATGGATCATTTCAACTGATCAGCTGATTGATTGATTGATTGATTGATTATTGTGACCGGCCTCAGCTGCTCTCACCTCTTCCTGCCTTCGTCTCCCAGGTTTTCCCAGCGGTTCTGGACGGCGGCGCTGACCTCCTGCAGGCTGGCGGCCGGTCGCTCCATCAGAACCTCGGACCGGGTCTCCTTCTCAAACAGCGAGGCGGCGGACGGTGGCACCCTCAGAGCGCGGCTGCTGATCATGTCATACGCCGTCAGAGCGGCCCGTTTCTCCGTTATGGCGTTGCCTGACCTCTTGACCTCCGGGTCAGGCCGGTGGATGACGACGGGCCGCAGGGGTTCTCCCGACACCGGGTCGGTCAGCGCCGTGCCGCGGCTCCAGGCCTCGGCGGACTCCTGCGGCCACCGGGGCTCCTGTGGGCCGGGCTCAATGCTCTGGGGTCGACTCCGGGTCGCCTCGTCGTCGCAGAGGGAGAAACCGGATTGGTTGACGATCCAGTCATCCGCCATGGAGGAAGAGGAGCTGCAGCTGGAGGCCTGGCGCTGCAGAGCAGCTGATTGGCCGGCGTCTTCATCGCTCACCTTCCTGCTCTCCGTATTCTCATCTGTCCCCACACAACCAGCAGCAGGAGGAAGAGTTTCAGGGTCCGGCTGCTTTTCAGGACGAAAACCGTAAAGAGAAACCAGCAGAGCCTCAATGGCAGCCAGAACCGCCTCCTAAACACAGAGAAACAGGAAGTCAGAGCGAAGGAATCTGAACCGGATGAGCTGGGTTGGAGCCTCTGGTACCTTGTTATGAAGCAGAACCTGGGTTTTATCAGGCGTCACATTTACATCCAGAGATGAAGGACAAACTGTGATGTTCAGCAGGAGGACAGGGAACCGATGCCGAGCTGCATCGTCAGGATACTGAGCCGAGTGGTGCTGACGCAACAGCTGAGGAGAAGAAACGTGATAAATGACAGAAAAAAAACTGAAAACACACAATCTGAATCCATTTCACCTTCAGGATGTCCTTCTGCTGGACAGGACGCTTATTAATAAAGATAAAGGTTTTATCAGAGGTAGAGGAGCTCGTTAAGGACAAATCAGCTCCGGGTTTGGGAAGAAAACCGTCCAGAACCATCTGAAGGAAAAACAACAATCACAGAGATAAAGTACAGAAAACTGAACAGAAATCTCCATAAAAACAGTGGAACAACCCAAAAGTACTAATAATAACTTGAAAAATCAACACTACCATAATTTTCTCCACATTTTGTCATGCTCAAACCCCCCATTATCTTAGGATTAGACGTGTCGGTCTTGACTGTTTTGGGGGGTTATATTTATAATTATGTCTTTATAGAAACATTGTTATGAATCCAAGTTGGAACAAATTCATAAAGTGAAGTGAGACGCACAAATGTGTGGTAACAGTTTTTATTGATAATTTAACAGAACTAAAAGGCCGTTTAAGTACTGAATTGCGGTGCCGTACCAGGTTTCTCCACAGGGAGGCGGTGTAAGCCGTGAGACGGTTTGGGGCATCTATTGCCCTTTTTTGCTGTCCTCACGTGAAGAAGTGCACGATCAATTTTAATTTTGTTTAATTTCAAGTTGTTAACGTCCAAAAACATAGGGGTATGATTCTTACTAAGGTTTTATCTTATAAACATTTGTTTTTGTATTCGGCAGACTTATGTAGATGTTCCATTGTGTTAGCTAGCTAGTAAAGCTAGCTGTCCCGCTAGCTTTACTAGCTGCTGTTAGCGGTCTGATGCCTGCATGAGAGGCATACAGTTATGCAGTTCAGACAGAAATAAAGACAGCCCATGAACGAGTCCATATTATAAATCCTGTATTTTATGCAAAATTAGTTTGTTAATGGAAGTGGCCTAAGTAGGTCATCAATTTGTATTTACCCACGTCTAAAATAAAAACGTCACTAGTTATAAAGTCGGTTATCTCAGACTTAAGCAGGTTGACCACCCTTGGTTAAAAGTAACCATGGGGAATAGGAGAAAGGGGAGAAATGTCGCAGTTACAGTAAAACCAACAGCAAGTACAAAATGCCACAAACACGCTATACAAAACAGAAGTCCTCCAGGCCACAGGGGGGCGTCAGCCACCACCTCATATGGGAGCAGACACTCAGGAAAGATGGAATGTCTAGAAGAAGGAAAAAGTGCTTTTATGCTTCATATGTTTTACAATATTATAGGACAGCAGCATATTTATGTACGTAATATTTATCCAATTCAAAAATACTTTATTGATCACAAAGGGATCAATAACTCCAGACTCCGCCTAGTGGCCTGGAGGGCCTCTGTTTTGAAGAGCAAGTCTGCAGTTACTTTTGCCATGTGTCATGTTTTGCTTCTATTTGCAGCATTTTGTCTGATTGTTTTTGTAGGTTTTTCTTCCATTTGTGTGTTTGCAGATGATTCTACTGTTTCAGCCCCTGTAGAATACTTTTACTAAGCGTTATATTTCTGAAGTCTGAATAGTCATCGTTTCTTCTTCTGTGCAGGCTCCCGACCCGATCTTCCAGCCAGAACCACTGGATCTGATGACTCAGCAGCTGCATGTAAAGGTCAGCCTGGTTCCTACGGAGGGCTATTAGTGGCTGCATTTTTCCCCACAGCCTCATTATGAGCAGCAGAACCCGGTGGTGACATCCAGAACCGAGCCACTGTTCCTGCTCATTACGCACGAACCGGACCTTTGGACCCCCGGAGCTCCTCATCGGGGCAGCCAGAGCTGCCAGCATCACATTTAGTTCCTCCTGATCAGCGGGCACAAAGGTTACTCTCATAACCGCAGCAAAACAACAACAGAGGGAGAGCGGGGGTGAAAGCGGCTGCTCCACATCTGTCAGCAGGTAGGAGCCTCGTGACGAGCGGCTGCGACCGCACAGAGGCCGGCATCGCCACGGCGATTCGATTAGCGTCAGGAAGCACTCAGCTTTCATCAGGAAGAGCTGCGGAGAAAAGGGCAGAGCGCGTTGAGCCGCCGCCAACCGAGCACACGGCGGATCAGCTGCTCAGGCGCCGCTGCTTCTCCTCTGGATCAGCTGATTTACACACCGCCACACCAACAGCTGTTTGAAAGCGTTCAGCGCACTCAGCTTCCCCTGAACTCATTTTACCTCATTAATTCTAAAGCACTAATTTATCTAAACGTGTCAGCTGAATAAAGTTCCACGTCTACCAAAAATGATACAAAACATAAATTATGTGTTTCTAAGCTTACTTATTTTAGTCTGACTAAAAGACAGCCTTACTGGTTAAAGTAATTTCAAGTATTTCTTATTGAAAAACGTCATATTCTTCCAGAATATTAATTTATAACAATCCCAAACATCTCCACCTGTGATGAAGCAGCAAATGATTTTTATTCTCTACCCAGAATGCATTGCTGTATTTCTACAGTAAACAGTTTAAAATCTACTGATGTTTTAAGTCCTATTGCGCTAGCTGAGGCTAAATCAGAAACATTGTTAGCAAAACTCGACAATTATAAAACCGAGTCCATGAGTGACAGATCTGTTCTCAGAAAAAATCACTTTCTGAAACACAAACTGACAAATTTGTCCCCGTGGAGAGCGCTATGCTAGGTTTTAGTACATGTTACCTTAAATACCATTTTGGTATATAGCTTTAGCATGAGCTTCGCTAAATACCATGATGATGTAGCATTTAGCATTTTATCATTAGCTTCCCTTAAATACCAAGTTGTTATAGCATTTAGTCTTAGCATAATTAATGATTATAATAGTGCTTTAGGGTTAGTGCAGCTAACTCTTTAGCCCACGACTGGAGTGAGGCAGTGGGTTCACAGACTGCACTGACCACAGCGATGGTTCAAAGGTCAGACCCTGTGGGCCTGAAACTTCTCAGACCTGAACCCGACTGAGTTGGAATCAACTCCAAACAGAAGATAAAAACGGGTTTGGACCTCATGCCCAGCTGAATCCTCTAATATTCTTTTCATATTGATATCAATATGAAAAGAATATCTTTGGGTAAGATATTGACTACTAAATAAAATCGTTAAGCCTCTCTTTAACCGACCTCTGGCTGTTCTTGATGGACGGGCAGCAGGTTGGTGACGGTGCTAGCTCCTAGCGTAGCAACCAGGGCGCTCCTGTGGTCCGCCGCTCTGGCCTTCTGCCAAACCACCACCTGCAGAACAAAATGCCTCCATGAGTCCCCGTCCCCTCAGCAGCAGCGACTAGCAGATACCCTGGTAAAGGGTCTGATATTTTACAGTTTGGCTCCTGAAACGGATCCTGCAGTAAACAGTTCCTGAAAAGGCCGTGAAGTGTAACACAAGCAGAGCTGGAGGGAACCGATCGCAGCGGCAGCAGCATGTCTGGACAGGCTGTGCTCCGCTGCAATCTCAAGCTACTTTCCACGAGAGCTGCATGGCTGCTGCATGCAAACTCACTGACCTGCAGCAAAACACACTGCTGCACCCTGAGGCCGAGCCCAGAGCTCCAGGAGGCTTTAATCTGGGCTTTAATCTGGGTTTAAACCGCTCAGATTAGGAGACAGATGTGCTTAAAGAGTTCAGGAAATCACAGAAAAAACTCAAAATGCACAATTTAATCAGCTAAACTGGCTTCTTGTTTTAAAGATTTATTCGTTTTGTTTGGATATTTAGGCTAAAATATGCAGGAAAAATTTCAGTGAGGACTCAGAACCTTTAACGGGACAATTTGGGTTTTAATCCAGAATTTAGCTCCATTTACTACTGATTAATCTTTGAAATTAAAATCAGATTCAACTGAAATGTTGAGATGTTTTGTAGGAACAGTAACCTCTGCAGCAGCAGCTCTGATCCATTAGATTTAAAATCAGCTGCGATCCCTTTAACCTGTACCAGAACATAAACACAGAAGAACAATCAAACTTTACTGGTTAGATCTCTTAAAAACACGTGAAACGATTCGTTTATCTCTCAGAGCTTCTGGAAGAAGTTTGTTGTGTAAAAAACATCCAGAACCAAATTGTGACTAATCGTTTACTGAGGTAATCTTCAAATAATTTAGTAATCAATTAATCGTTAACTGGAACATACAGACGCTAAAATATGCAATTTGATGAAAGAACAACTGAAATTTAGTCAAAACTGAACAATAAATATAAACACTTTGAACCTGAGGTAAAAATCTTCTTGGTGTGTAAATCTGTTCCTCAGATCTCCTCTAGTGGCCGTTCTAGAGTTTGTTAAATTAATTCTGTTATTGTATTTTAGGCAATTAAATGTTATTTTGTCTTTTAAAGCAATTCTAATATTGTATAAAACCAGTTTACGTGGTTAAATGAAAAATCAGCTGAATAAGAAGTTTTTAAACCCGATTAATCAATTGTCAAAATCAATCACTAGAGTGATCGATTACGTAAATAATCGTTAGTTGCAGCCCTGATTGGTTTAACTAATCTAATCTAAACATATTTGTGACAACATAAATATGAAATAGGTTTTATTTTGTTTCTATGAGATAAAATGAAGAATCAAAGTTTATTTAAGTCAGATTTGAATTTTATTTTCCATCCTGATGACATCATAAAATCATTTCTGCCTTTATTCAGAATTTATTCACATATTTTCAATGTTCAATTTCCACGTCAGAAGTGAATTTTAGTTGTTTGGATTCTGAAAAGATCATCTGGATTTTATAATCCTGGAAACGTCAGGCTGAATAAAAGTCAGAAACACTGGGATTACGGAGGCTTTTTAATTCTTTTAGCAAATAACTCTGAACTTATTTCAACAAAAAATTGTTTTTTACTGAAACAAAAGCAAAAATAAATCAAATTTAACAGATAAATATAACCCTGTTCAACATAGAAATTATTTATAAATATTATTATCAGGAGTACCTTCAGATCCAGTTCTGACTTTTAAACCTGAGTTTCTGTTTCTCACAATAAAGTTTGAATTTTATCTCATTTTTTTAAATTTGAGAATCATTTGAAGCTGTTCATGTTTTATATTTGTCACATATAATTTTAGATTTTACTTGTTTTTAATCTCTTTACCACTAATGCCTTACCTACAGTCTAACGCAGGGGTTCCCAATGTGGGGGTCGGGACCCCAGGGAGGTCATGAGACACCAGGCAGGGGGTCGAAATCTCATTTTCAGATTCATTATGATTTTAATGGTTAAAACAGGGGGGAAAAACTACATCATTAAATAATAAAATATAGATTGAAATAACAATAAGTGGGGGTTACCAGTAGGGCTTTATTTTATAATTTTTAATTTCTTGGGGTGAACAGTTTGGAACTGAGGGTCCAACATGTCATTTCAGAACCAGAGGAAAGTTTCAGCAGCTGGAAATGCAACGAGGACACCTAGTGGTGGAGAATCTGCACTAAATAAATGACTGAATTAACGACTGAACTGGAAACCTGGAGGCGTTTTGGGATAAAATAAACATGGAATTAGAAAAACTAGATTAAAAAAGGATGAAGACCAGATAAAAACGTTTTTTAGAAACAGATAATGTTAACGTGTCAGACCAGCAGGTTCTGACCTTGTTGTGCACCAGCGTGAGCCGCAGCTCCGGCTTTATGATGGCGAAGGCCATCAGCAGGTCCTGGACCTTCCTCACTTCCTCCTTACGCTTCCTGACGGAGGAGAAGAACTGCCGTCGCACTGGCAGTTTCCCAAACAGCTTCGCCACGCTCACCGACGTTCCTGCAGGAACACAGCAGGGCTCAAACCGCCATCAGAACGCCCCACCCACCCCGGTAACCGCCGGCAACCTGCCTCCACCCAGGTGAGACGGCCTCTGAGAGACGATGGCCCCGCTGGAGTCCAGGGTGTACTGCGTGCTGACGTCGTCCTCCTCTGTTTTAGTGGTAACGGTGACCTGGACAGGAAACAGACTCTGAACTGTGAGCAACAAACAACTTCAGCTTTTAATGTTCCAATTACAGATTTAACTTAGAAAAACTAAAAAAACATGTCAAGTCAGCCAATTTCAGGTTTAGAGGTGATCTGTGAACTGTAGTCGATGAACAGAAAGATTTTCTAAGAAAGATTTTTCACACTAAATCTTTCTCACATTATCAGATTTCATCTTCTCAGTTCTATTTTTAACTCCTTCCAGAATAAGAAGTTCTGCGGCTACACCTCAGTTATGCAAATTAGCTGCTGCTGACCACGTCCCCCGCATCAATGTTTACCCTGTTTACATGTAAAAATGGCTGCCAACAGATGAGCTATTAAGTCATGTTTAATCTGCAACAAACGGGAGGAAAGACATTTTCATGTGCGAGTATAAACATGGCAACCATTCAGCTGCAAACGCCTGGGTGGACCTAGCCCTGCCTCCAAGGTGCAGCTCCTCCCCTACTCAGCTCCTTCAGACTAGCCAGCAGCAATTAGCAAACAGCTGCTGAGCTCATTATAGTAGATACTGCTCAGAGCAACAAAAAGCATTAAAGGGTTAATAGAGGAGCCATTTTAGGATGACTTCCTGGAGGTGGAGCTTCAGGAAGAAATAGAGCATTTAAAGAGACAGTGGTCCAATTTCACAGCTTTAAATTACAACATCAGATTTCTTTTAGGTCATATTTGATATACAGTACAGACCAAAAGTTTGGACACACCTTTTCATTCACAGAGTTTTCTTCATTTTCATTAATATGAAAATGTAACACAAGAGAATTTTCCACCCGCTTCAAAACCAGCAGATTTCCCTTTTTTGCATCTGAAGCTTTAAAGTGACCAGAAAACATCTAGAAAGTTTTCTGAACCTCTAACTTTAGTGTGGAAAGAGAGCCACCTCGGCCACGGCGCAGATGGAGCCCAGCGCCTCGCCCCTGAAGCCGTATGTTTCCAGACGCTCCAGGTCTTCATGGCTGCTGATCTTGGAGGTGAAATGTTGGACGGCCATCACCGGAGCGTCCGCCACTTTGATCCCACAGCCGTTGTCCCGAACTTCGGTCCGGTCCAGGCCGAAGTTCTCCTTCAAATGAGCGACACATCAAGTGAAGCTGAAGGGAAAACACAACAGGAAGTGAGACGAATGGTCTGTAAACGTACCAGCTTCACATCGACGCTGGAGGCGCCAGCGTCCAGGGAGTTCTCCATCAGCTCCTTCACCACGCTCACCACAGACGTGACGACCTGCGAGCTGGACAGCAGCCGCACTGTGTCTGCAGGAAGCTGCTTCATCGCTGTGTTGGTAGGAAAACAGAGTCAGTCATGGCTTATCCAGACTGCTGCATCCACGGTGCACAAAGCAGCATTAATGCATTAAGGAACCTCAGACTGAAGAACTTTCAGCCTCCAAGTCACTTAAACTGGCTCTTTTAAACACCAGATCTCTCTGTGCTAAAGCTCTATGAGTTAATGATTTCATCACCGAGCACAATATTGATGATTTATTTCTGACAGAAACATGGGTGAAAGACAATAATGAAGCAATCGTACTAATTGAATCAGAGCCTCCTACGTACAATTTTTTAAGTAAGAATAGAAAACACAAAAAAGGAGGAGGCGTGGCTTCAATATTTAAGAATACCATAAACTGTAGTAAAATCTCTTTGGGTAATTTCACGTCTTTTGAGTATCTTGGAATTGAGGTAAAAGGCCACAAACGAACTTTGACACTAACTTTATACAAAACTCCAACATATGTGGAAGGTTTCTTTACGGACTTGAATGAGCTTCTATCTCTCATATGCATTGATTACGATTGTTTGATAATTGTCGGTGATTTCAACATTCATGTTGACAACCTGAAGACCGAGGGGCAAAAATCTGTTTAATATATTAGAGAGTTTTGGTTTAACACAACATGTCAAACAAGCAACACACACTCATGGACACACACTGGACCTGGTTATCAGTAAGGGTGTGAATATTTCCAATGTCTCCGTAACTGATGTCGCCCTGTCGGATCACTTTGCTGTTATCTTTGACTGTTCTTTATCCGTTAACCCACTTGGACAAAAAGCTACTATCACAAAACTTTCACAGAAAACACAGCAGAAACATTTAATCAAATCTACTCTTCTTCCTCACCCTTAAGCTATAGTGACGTAGATAAGTTGGTAGATGATTTTCAGTGCAAACTTTCAGATATTGATTACATTGCCCCCATTAAAGTGAAGGTTGTGACTGGTAGGAAGAAATCTCCATGGAGAAATGCACAAACAGTTCTGTCTGCAAGACAGCTCTGCCGTAGGGCCGAACGGAAATGGCGTAAAACTCAACTGCACGTTTATTATGACATCTACAAAGAAAGACTACGTAACTATCACTCAACACTAAAACATGCAAGAGAGGCTTTCTTTGCAGATGTCATAAACAAAAACACTAACAACGCTCGAGCTTTATTCACTACGGTTGACAGGCTCACAAACCCTCCTATGACGTTACCACCTGAACTTCAATCTAATGCCGCCTGCAATAAGTTTTCCAGTTACTTTTCAGAGAAAATTCAAAAGATCAGAGGATTAATCTGCACATCCTCTCCAAAGCCAGTACCAATGCTGGGCCCAAACAAAACAAATGCAGGAACAATGACCCAATTTCAACTACTTCATTATAAAACCCTAGAGGAAATTATAAGTCAATTAAGGTCCAGTTCCTGCTGTCTGGATGTCCTACCCACACATTTATTTAGGAAAGTCCTGCCTGTTGTTGCTAATGATCTGATCCAAATAGTAACTCATCGCTCTCCTCAGGTGTTTTCCTCCAGGCTTTGAAAACAGCAGTTATCAAACCACTGATAAAAAAGAACAGTCTGGACAAATCACTGCTGCAGGATTACAGGTCGACCTCTGACCTCCCATTCATCAGCAAAATTATTGAAAAAGCAGTTTTTAAACAATTAAATAACT